TCGGTGATTCCCTCAGATCGCGTCTTTGATAATTCACACTGCATGATTGTCACTCGCGTGAACGAGCACCGATTTGCCTCCGATGTCGGGCATTTGTCGGCGATTTGGCAAAACCTGACGGCGAATGAAAAATCGGGCTAAAATCGTGGAGTGTGAACTCGGCATAAGTGTTCATGAGGTAGATTGCATGAGGGAAGAAACTGTTAATTAGTATGTTAAGAGCATTTTAAAATAAACATATAATTGTTAAAATAGGAAAAACTATTTGTAGATAGCAAGAAAAGACAACATAAAATTGAAAATTACTAGTTTGTTTTCTGCTCATGATGAGAGCATTTTTTTGTTTAAGCAAAATATAAAAATGGTCCAGACTTCAAGAGGAAAACTCTGAACCCCTTCTGCCTTACATATCTAAATGTAAAAAAGAATAATAGCTTCACAAAACATCTGATCTTATCTTTTAATATTGATATCTAATTGAGGTCAACTGATGATTTATTTATTTATTTTTTAAATATAAACATTTTCAGAAGCCACTGGCCTTTGGCTCTAAGGACCCAATATATATTTTTCTATAGATATATATTTTTATGTATATTATTTGTTAAGATTTTTATTTTTTATTTTACAAAGCATTACTGGTGCCCAGACGGAAATGTGTAACTATTCATATATGAGACCCTGAACCACAAAACCAGTCATAAGGGCAAATTTTTTGAAATTGAGATTTATACATCATATGGAAGCTGAATAAACAAGCTTTCTATTGATGTCTGGTTTGTTAGGACAGGACAATATTTGGCCGAGATACAAATATTTGAAAATCTGGAATCTGAGGGTGCAAAAAAATCTACATATTGAGAAAATCGCCTTTAAAGTTGTCCAAATGAAGTTTTTAGCAATGCATATTACTAATCAAAAATTAAGTTTTGATACATTTATGGTAGGAAATTTACAAAATATATTCATGGAACATGATCTTTACGATAAAAATTGATAATTTTGACCCCTACAATGTTTTTTTTGGCTATTGCTAAAAATATATCCAAGCGACTTAAGACTGGTTTTGTGGTCCAGGGTCACACATATATACAGTGGGGACCTGAAAAAAATGCACTTCGTTTAATGCATTCATTCGTTCCCTTTCTGTGTTGTTCATCAAATATAGAGACCGGACCTCTTGGAACTTTAATTGAATACCCCTACCTAGGGTCTTAATGAAAAGTCTATGACATACTTTGGTTAAAATTTCTCAATGGTGGTGTAAAACAAAACCCTATTTACCCTGTCAAAAACAGCTCTGTTCACAACAACTCGTTTGGGTGCATGTCCCTTTAAATGTTAATGAGCTCTGCTCACCCCACCCCTCTCTTCCATGGGGTGACGAGCCGTTCTCTGAGACTGTAAACTTTAGCCACAATCGTCTCTGAACTTGCTAACTACCACATTATTGGGAAAGGCGATTTGCAAAGATTCATAAAAAACCTTATACTCACTTCTTCTGTAGGTGAAGCTGGATCACGAATGATTCGCGTGAACACAAATGCATTTAGGTAGATCGGGGACGCATTCCCTTCAGAAACAAACATAATCCACTGGGTCTTGAGCAGCTCAGATGTCGGGAGTAAATGACGACTGCTGTTCATTATTACATCCAACAACAAAACACCTCAACCGCTTAGGAGTCATTCTTGTTTACATCTGCTCCGGCGGTGAAACAATGGCGGACTGATGACAGCTCACTCAGGGCGGAGCTAAGGTAAGACGCCAGTGTCAGTCATCAATCGTGGGAGGGGCCTGGGTCTGTGTGACATCACACTGGCAGGAATCGGAGAACGGCTTGATTTGAGAAAGGGGTAATGATTTTAGGAGATTAAAAAAAAACACTGGGTGGATTTTTATCATTATAGGATTAGTACTACATAAATAAAAACTGTAAGGTTTTTTTAATGAATCTTTGCAAATCGCCTTTCCTAATAATGTGCTAATTAGCCAGTTTCACGACGAATAAAGTAAACAGTCTCTCTGAGAGCAGCTCGGAAGAGAGGGGCGGGGTCAGCAGAGCTCATTAACATTTAAAGGAAAATGCTACAAAAACTGCGTGCTCTGAACAGAGCTCATTTTGACTGGTTAAAATTTCTCAATGGTAGTGTAAAAAACAACTTTTTTACCCTGTCAAAAACAGCTCTTTTCAGAGCATGCAGATTTGTTGCATTTTCCTTTAAATGTTAATGAGCTCTGCTCACCCCACCCCTCTCTTCCATGGGGTGACGAGCCGTTCTCTGAGACTGTAAACTTTAGCCACAATCGTCTCTGAACTTGCTAACTACCACATTATTGGGAAAGGCGATTTGCAAAGATTCATAAAAAACCTTATACTCACTTCTTCTGTAGGTGAAGCTGGATCACGAATGATTCGCGCGAAGATAGACGCATTTATGTAGATCGGGGGCGAATTCCCTTCAAAAACAAACATAATCCACTGCGTGCGTCTTCAGCGGCTCAGATGTCGGGAGTAAATGACGACTGCTGTTCATTATTTATTACATCCACAAAACACCTCAACCGCTTAGGAGTCATTCTTGTCTACATCTGCTCCGGCGGTGAAACAATGGCGGACTGATGACAGCTCACTCAGGGCGGAGCTAAGGTAAGACGCCAGTGTCAGTCATCAATCGTGGGAGGGGCCTGGGTCTGTGTGACATCACACTGGCAGGAATCGGAGAACGGCTTGATTTGAGAAAGGGGTAATGATTTTAGGAGATTAAAAAAAGCACTGGGTGGATTTTTATCATTATAGGGTGATTGTGTACACACACTGCCAACACACATTTATGTTCAAACAACATGTAAAAGTGCATTTCGCATCCGATGACCCCTTTAAAACAAGAACAAATGTCTGCCAAAAAGCCCAGAAAAACCAACTTCATTTAAAGAAAAAAACTGTTGCATTGACAGATATTGGTTCTTATTGTAAGCAAAAATTCATTTACTTTTGTTACATTTTTCAGAAAAGAAGACTTCATGTCTTTAATTTGCATTTCAAGTAAACATTTTGATTTAAGGATATTTTGATATTTATATTGAAAAACAAAAATACTGAGAATTATATTAATTTTTTGCTTTGCATGCGACATTTAATGCCATGACTTTATGAATTTAAGACTTTCTGCTCTGATATAAGAGCGTTTAAGGCCTTAATTTATGAAAATGCAGATTAATACTTTTTAAGACCCACAGAAACCCTGATAAAAACTACAGAATGGAATATCCTCGTTTTTTTGTCTGACCCTTATAATGGAAGAGTGTTGTTTGTCTGGGTTGTTCATGTCATTTTCTCCTGCTTTCATCAGGTTCATCCTCAGTAACGTCTCTGTAGGTGTTAAAGCTATCGTGTCTCATCAGCTAATGGTTTCTCAGCAGATCCTCAGGAGTGTTTGCGTCTCCTGTCCATGAACCCGTTATGATTCAGCACTGATGAATCACTCACAATCAGAAACAGAGTCAGGTTTGATTCCACACAGCAGAAATGAGCAGAGATCAGACTCACTGGGGACTCTGTTGATGGCTTTGAGCGGCCGCAGGACTCTCACCGTCCGGATGGCCGTCAGGTTGATGTTCTGCAGGTCCAGAGAATACTCCACCACCCTGAACACACACACACACACACACGATATAAACACACAGCTCATCTGTGTACAGTCTAACACAGTACAGGTGGTGTTTTATACATTTATTCTTCAGCGCTGTTTGTTCTGAAGCTCCTCAAACACACACACAGCTTCTCTGAAGATCTCTGACAGCTGATCATACGCTCAACATATTTACATACTGTACATGCGCGCGCACACACACACACACACACACACACGTGTTAGAGATCTCCATCTGTCCTGCATTTACACACTGATCAGGAGATCTGCCATCATACAGAACACAGACTAGACACAAATAAAACACATAGCGTAACAGAAGAGACCGAGATGAATGAGTGAGATAGTCTGCTGTTTGACACTCAGTGAACACATGAACTGATCACACATACACAATCAATGCCAAATACATCAGTGGAATCGATGCATTTCAGTCGCTGCAGATCAAAACAAACTGTGTGCTGTCTGTAGGTTTAATGAGTGATGTTAATGCTGTAAAACCACAAAATAAAATAACATTCAAATGTTTGTGGTTGGTAAGATTTTTTTTTTTATGTTTCTGAAAGAAGTGCCTTCTGCTCACCAAAGCTGCATTTATTTGATCAAAAATACAGAAAAAAACAGTAATTATATTATAAAATAAAGTAATTGTTTTCTATGTGAGTATCTGTTACACTGTAATTTATTTCTGTTATGCGCAGCTGTATTTTCAGCATCATTACTGCAGTCTTCAGTGTCACATGATCTTCAGAAATCATTCTAATATGCTGATTTGCTGCTCAAGAAACATTTCTGATTATTATCAATGTTGAACACAGTTGAGCTGCACAATATTTATGTGGAAACTGTGATGCATTTTATTTTCCAGGATTCACAGATGAACAGAAAGTTCAAAAGAACCGCATTTATTTAAAATAGTAATCTTTTGTAACATTGTAAATGTCTTTACTGTCACTTTTGATCGATTTAATGCATCCTTGATGAACAAAAGCATTAATTTCTTTTGAAAAAAATTGAATGATGGTGTGTGTTTTATACTAAATGTCACAATTATATTATTATAGCACAGCCTTATGGATTTTACACAGTTTGTCAGTGTTAACAGCATAATTCATTCTGAATGGAGAAACTCCAGAGCTCCTGAATCACTGCTGATCTGAACTGAGAGCATTGAGTTACTAACACACATCACGCTTCATCAGCTCAGCACTTCAGGAATCAAACTCCTGTAATGGGTTTGTTTGAGCGCTGAACTGAAGAGTGTAACGGTTACCGTCTGAAAGCTCTCTGTGAGTGAGTGAGTGAGTGTGTGTGTGTGTGTGTGTGTGTGTGCGCGTGTGCGTGAGTGTATGTGTGCATGTGTCTGTGTGTGCGTGTGCGTGTGCATGTGCGTGAGTGTATGTGTGCATGTGTCTGTGTGTGCGTGTGCGTGTGCATGTGCGTGAGTGTATGTGTGCATGTGTCTGTGTGTGCGTGTGCGTGTGCATGTGCGTGAGTGTATGTGTGCATGTGTCTGTGTGTGCGTGTGCGTGTGCATGTGCGTGAGTGTATGTGTGCATGTGTCTGTGTGTGCGTGTGCGTGTGCATGTGCGTGAGTGTATGTGTGCATGTGTCTGTGTGTGCGTGTGCGTGTGCATGTGCGTGAGTGTATGTGTGCATGTGTCTGTGTGTGCGTGTGCGTGTGCATGTGCGTGAGTGTATGTGTGCATGTGTCTGTGTGTGTGTTCTCACCCGGCCATCACGATGAAGAAGTCCAGTCTGTTCCAGGTGTCTCCCAGATAACAGCGCTGGCCGAAGATCCCCAGAGCCACTATCTTCACCACCATCTCCAGTGCAAAGAAGATGTAGATGAATGCATCGAAGGCCTGAGAGACAGAGAAATCAGCCATGCAATTAAATCAACTGACATCAACAGAGTCTAATGATCAGCTAATTAACATGAAACTCTGATGATGAGTCTCTAGATGACGCTGATGATCTGGAATCATCTGAATATTAGATATGAAGCGCATGCTTAACGGGCTAGTTAACGTGCTGAAAGCTCACGAGATCAGAAAGAGCTGATTAACGAAGCGAAGGACTCATTAACAGGCAAGTATGTGAAACTATGAAACTGGTTCCTCAGACTGACCTGCAGGATCTGGCAGCGTTTGGAGGAGCAGTCGATGTTCTCGCAGGGCTGGTACATCCCCAGCGTCACACAGTTCAGCAGGATCACCATCATACTGACTCGCTCGAACCACGTGAGCCGGTTAAGGAGAACTCTACTAGTGCTCGATGCAATGATTGTGTGATTACAGCACAGACGAACAGAAAACATCACCACAGCCAATAAACCAACACATTCATAACGAACCAATAGAGAGAGAAACTGAACCAGTCTGAACCATTGACATGCATACACCATCAATTCATGTTCTATTACAACAGAATTAATGCATTAAACGAATAGTGTTCACAAAATTGTATTCATCAAGGACACATTAAATTGATCAAAAGTGACAGTAAAGACATTTATAATGATAGAAAATATTTCAATTTCAAATAAATGCTGTTCTTTTGAACTTTCTATTCATCTTTGAATCCTGAAAATTAAAATGTCTCTGTTTCCACAAAAATATTGTGCAGCACAACTGTGTTCAACATTGATAATAATCAGAAATGTTTCTTGAGCAGCAAATCAGCATATTAGAATGATTTCTGAAGATCATGTGACACTGAAGACTGGAGTAATGATGCTGAAAATACAGCTGCGCATCACAGAAATAAATTAGTTTAACAGATATTCACTTAGAAAACAGTTATTTTACATAGAAATAATATTTCACATTTTCACTGCATTTACTGTATTTCTGATCAAATAAATGAGCCTTGGTGAGCAGAAGAGTCTTCTTTCAAAAACATAAATCATACACTACCATTTGAAAGTTTGGAGTGAATGTATAAAGTGAACTGGTGTGATTTTATCTATTAAAGGAGTCAAAATAGTCTTTCTATAACACCATGCGGAGGGTTTTGTGTGTGTTTGTATGAACGTGTGTCACCAGATGAGCGCCAGCTCCCGAGGATTCGTCTTCATCTGCGTTTCTTTGTTTATTTGTCTATCGCTCGTCAGAATGTTTACTGTTCCAAAGCAGCTTTACAGAGTTTCGAGGCGTAAAACACAGAGTCTGAGTCGATACTGAATTAATTCCTGGAGCTCAGCAGCATCAGCTCATGCGCTGTAAAAGAGCAGCGTGAACATTCTGCTGAACGACTCCTTTAGGGTTTCACAGAAGAAAGGAGTCAGTCATACAGGAACCACATGAGGGGGAGAAAATTATGACTTTCTTAAAAACTAATGTTTATAATATCAAATGTTTAAAGAGTTCAAACAAATGTCAGGTAATCTGCAGTGAATGTGAGGCACAGGTGGGCAGTGGAGCTGCTCCGTTACCATAGTAACACCTCATTCATCCAGCAGCAGCAGGTCAAACACACAACTCATTCAGTCATTATTCCACAATGAGGAGTTATTTCTCTTAAGGCCAGATGCTAGAGGTGAGTTTTGTCTCACAAGCTTTCTGAAAAGTTATGTTTAAGTATGCAAATGAGGCATTATATAATGAAATATGCACTCATTTGCATACACTTCCAAAGCAGGAATCTGAACATTAGATAAAGTCATGCTTTTCTTTGTTGACATGCAGGTTTTTCCAGAGGGGATTCTGGATTTCTCGTTTTATCACTCCATAAACCAAATACATTTTCACCACGTTTTTAGAAATAAACGTTAAATACTGCATATATAAATGGGAATATGTACCAAATCCCTCAGTAAAAGCCTTCAGAATATAGAGGGGAATAAAACTAAAGTTTGGTGTGTAAGAAAACAAAACTCTTTAAAGATATGGATTGGAATTGAAATCTACACACACAAACAGATAAAACAATAAATAAAAGAATAAAAATAAAACACTTAAACGTGTATTTTGGATGCTTTTTTCCACTAGTCTGATGGAAGCAAAACAGACCAATACTGACCAGGGATTGAAGAAACACTGACCTAAATGCTTCTGTGCAGTAGATGCTCTAAGAATTCATCATGCTGCTTCAATAAACTATAATTAAAGTTGATATGGTCAGTATGGTGATTTTTTTGATAATTGATAAGACTTTAGTATAATTTACTAGTTCCATTAACTGCACATGACATTAAACGCTTTGAATCTCCATCTGTGACTCTGAAAGTGTTTCTCAGTCTGAGTGCTGAACTCAGGATTCCCAGCAGACGTTCACATGCTCACTTACACTAATGCTGAACCATAAACAGATAATCGCGAGGACACACACACAGAGAGAGAGATCTCCATGAAAGCACATTAAACAGAACAAGCGCTGGTCTGTATGAGTCTCATTATGAGCGTATGAAACCTTCATCAGCGCTTCTGTCCCGTCATGAGGGTGAATCCAGCTCTGGTGTCACTCAACGCTGATCTGGGGTCAGTAGAGAGGACTCGGGCTTTATTTATAAAGCGGCTGCAGCAGAAGCTCAGGAGTGCTGACTGAAACCGGCACAATAATGAAGGCCTTTCCCAGAATCCTCACTGAGCCGGAGTGGAAAATTGAGTATTTGAGGAAGATCCGGAGACAAACTGCATTTATATATCACACACACACACACACACACACTCAGACACACACACACACTCAGACACACACATCAATAACACAGCTAAACTAGCTGCCGATCTAATGAGATCCTGAACTTTTATTTAATACCTGTATGTCACTTAAAATTCTAATCAATAACAAAAAACATACTGATTTCCCATAAGATTAAGCAGTAAGCAGGATATAATAATAAAACAATAAAAATATCAAAAGTGTTGAGAGATGTTCATAATTAAAAGTCATAGTTGGCTTTGTTAATTCATCAAAGCTTCAATAATGTGGACAGAAAAAGGTGTTATAATATATAATATAAATGAACAGATTAAGGTTCATTCATGTTCAAAAGTCTGGGGTGGGTATTTTTTCTTTTCATCAAGGATGCATTAAATTGTTTAAAAGTGACAGTAAAGACATTTATAATGTTACAAAAGATTTCTATTTCAAATAAATGCTGTTCTTTTGAACTTTCTGTTCATCTGTGAATCCTGAAAAATAAAATGCATCACGGTTTCCACAAAAATATTGTGCAGCACAACTGTGTTCAACATTGATAATAATCAGAAATGTTTCTTAAATCAGCATATTATACTGATTTCTGAAGATCATGTGACACTGAAGACTGGAGTAATGATGCTGAAAATACAGCTGCGCATCACAGAAATATATTACAGTTTAACACATTCACATAAAAAGCAGCTATTTTACATTGTAATAATGTTTTGCTGTTTTCACTATTTCAAATAAATGCAGCCTTGGTGAGCAAAAGAGACCATTAGTGCATGTTATAGTTTATATTTTTATATTCACATGGAGGAATAAACTATATATATTTACAACAGTTCTCTCTGGTCCTTGAATCTGATTGGCTGATAAGAGTGCGATATCAGAGTGATAACAGAGCTACTCCAACCACATCACCGTTTGAATCACTCTGCTTGCCGTATTTCTCACAGCGAGCGTCATAGCGGACGCCCAAATCCACTATAATTTAAGAATAATACTGTTTTTGTGCCACTGAATGTAGTTTTAAGAGCTTTTTAGATGAGAATGTACTTGTCTAGACTTCAAATATGCGGTTTGTTAATAAACAATGTCTATTTGAAAATTTGCTTTGATGTTTTCGGAGATGTGAGCTCCAGGGCATAAAGCCTCACCTCAGCCAGATCTTCTGGAATTTAAAAAAATTCTGGAATTGTGGTTAAACATGAGATATATTTCGTTTTGGGTAAATCTAATGAGCAGTCTTTGATCTCATTAATCTATTATTTGTTCCAGAGCAAATAGTTTTGGCAAAATCTTACCATGTTTATGTAACTTCAATGTTGTATATCAGAGCGCTGCCTTTGTACTTTTGACTGAATTGCCTAGCAACTTGTATGATGGCTGTTGTTATGTTTATTAAATATTATTATTCAATAAATAATATTTTATATAAATAATACTAATATTTGGTATTAGGAAACTGTGTGTGTGTGTGTGTGTGTTCGTGATGGTGATTTTAGTTACATTGTTCCGCCATTAGCTGGTGACAAGAGACTTTTTTACGAGTCAGCAGAAATAATTTTAAATTGAAAAATACTAAAGCGCAGTTTTTAACAAGGAACTTATTTTTTCTTTCAAAAAGCTTGCACGCAGCCAACAAATGCATTGAGCAGCGCTGTCATCAGAAATCACCCTTAACAGATGAAAGGATAGTACGAGACTATCGGACATTCAAACTGTTTTATTGTGAATATGAGTTTGATCTGAAGAATGAATGCTGTATCAGATGCAGGCTCAGTCAATCTCTCTCTCTCATAATACTCTACTACATAATACACTGCTTTTACTACAGTGATACAATAAGCTTTTAATGAAGCAACTCAGCTTTCCTTTGTTACTAGTTCTAAAGCGACGTTTTGGAATTAGTAACGGAGGCTTGGGCTCAGCTGTTAAACGGTCATCTTTAGATTTGAGTCCGTGGCGGAAGGAAGTAGTTCTGCACAAAAGAGGGCTTTTTAAAACACTCCGTTGTTGTGTTTTTATGTATTTACACACTCGTGCCATTGAACTGTTGTATAAATGCAATATCACACGAGTAAACGTGAGATATGGCGGTATATCGGCACGCTGTTTTTTTTTTTTTTACATGAAGCATCGTCTGTCTGTCACGGCTCATTGAAACACATCCAGAGAAGCCCAGTGGCTGAATGAAACTAAACTATCTTATTGTTTCCACGGCGACACTCTCTGATCTCCATGGCAACAGCAGAGTTTTTAAATCAAGTTAATTGAGAGTCTAGAAGTTGATGGCAGGAGGAGCAGCAGAACATTAGCAGATGATCACTCACAACAACAGACAGAAGGAACACTGAGAGCTGCGAGAGCCAACCGTGAAACACGTAAATGTAGAGCAGCAGGGTTTAGAGAAAAATAACTTTACATGCCGCTGCACAAACACAATCATGCTTACGGCTGACCGCTAGTGAGGGACGAGACGCTGACCTTTAGCAGCGTCATTTAGAGCCACTGACATGCCGATATGATGAACGACACACAGCAAACACATCAAGAGAAAGTGAGTAATCACAGCAGACTCCTGAGAAACAAA